TGGATCACTTGCTCATGATTCACTCTAACAATTTCATGGTCATTTGTTTTTCACACCAACCATCCTGGAGGCACCCATCCCTGGACCCTTTGATTTTTAGTGCTGGACCTTCTCTTCTGGATGTATTCACATGGAATTTGTCTTGTTCCCTGTTATTTGAAAAAAGCTACCAACTTGGTGGCAGACTACTTTTCTTTTACAGTCTGCATTCTAACAACAGAGTGGTCTCTACAACCCCAGTAATTTTGTTAGGTTTGCTCTTGGTTGAACATATCCCTCACAGATGCCTTTGCTACCCTTCAGAATTCCAGGCTTCCTCTCTTCTGGACCCCTCTTTCTTCGGGTCTGGCTATCAGTGCTCTAAACCAGGACTGGTCTCATTTCTTTCTATATGCTAACCTTCTTCTTCATATCCTCTCTCTCAGATCCTCACCTTGATATGTGACAATTTTTGCCAGGTCCCATTGTTGGTGCATCTTTGGCCAGCTCATCCTTGGTTTCCTCTGCTTCTTCACATAGCATCCAGATCTCCCTTTCCTCCCCAATATCCCCTCTCTATTACTTTGACTTCACACATCTTTTTTTTCATCAAAGGGTATCATTCCTCCATCTTCACGTGTGGGATTTGTCTGGTCCATCACCTATTGGGCTGGACTCTCCAATCATGTGGCATACTCTTTACCACATTCCAACTTCCACTTGTCTGTCTATCAATGAAAGTGGTGGGTCTTTCATCATTGGCCTGTCCATCATTCTCATCCTCCTATTGGGAACCACTTTTCTGCCATTTTTTAAACTGGCTGTTAATCCATGGTTTATTTGGTCTCCATCATTGCTAGTTAGCAGGTATTCTTGTCCATTATATTTTGCCTTTCCTAGTATCACAGGGTGTTTCTTTCCCTATCCTCTCTACTCTGTTCTGCTCTTTCATTCTTCTCCAACATTCTCATCTAACTACCATGCCTGATTGGAACCTTACTGTGTCTTTTGACACTCTCATGCATGACCCCCATTCTAGTCATTAACTTGTTGCTCTTTGTACCATTTTTCTCTCCAGACTTATTTCCTCTTTCTTCTCGCCTGGGATTACCATTCTTTGGATGTCTATGCTATGAATGCTTCTCACACTCTTTTCCATTGCACCTATATACTCCTCTCCCTGGACCAATCTTTCCTTTCTAGGACTTCTAATACTTGGGAAGGTCACCGTACTTTCTCTCCTGTCTCCCTTCCTTTTGTTTCTCACCTATATTATCATTTGGACCTAGTTTGGCTCCTGTGTCCTATTTGGGTTGCTTGGTGTTGTTTATTATTGACTTATCCCTTTCAGATTTCTCACCATCGTCTGTTCCTAAACTGGACCTCTCCCTTCTTCCAGGGACCACTCTTCTAATGCCTTTACTGAATGGGTCCTTCAGCTACTCAACTTGGCATATTTATCTCTGGATACAGATGCTCATTGGCTATTTCACATTTATTCTCATTCAATTCGTCACCTTTCTCTTTCTCCTCTCCTTTGCTGGCCTTAGAATGAGGTTCTCCAGGTGGGAATGTGGATAACTCCAAACACGTTTGTCTTTCATTATTTACACAATCTGGCTGTTTTGTTTCCTGCTGGATTTTGATCTCCACCAGTCACCATTTTGCAATCAACCCAACATCTCTGAGAAACATATGCACATTTTCTTTTTCAAAACCCCCTTTTAAGTTCCTAGGATTCCTCCAGGTGGTTGGTGTTGCCTTCCAAGGTATACTTACTTTCAAAAATCTGCATCAAGCCAAGATGACAGAAAGCACTTATACCATTTGCCCTGGTTCTGCTAGTGCCCACTGGGAGGTGGGGTGTTCTGCAAGACCACTTGAGGTATACATATCTACTCAACTGCTCAATCCAGACCATATCTATGACCACTTGAGGTATATATATATATATTTACTCAATGGCCAAATCCAGACCATATCTATTCTATGGACTATCATGGAAAAAGCCAGCACTAGGAAAGTGCTCTTCCCACTTCTTTGGTTCATGCTTGAAAAGAGGGTTTCATGGTCAACCATTGCATTTCTCCAGTAAAAGACCTTTCCAGCTGGTAGCCCGATGGGAATCTAGGCACTTCTTTGGGTCTTCTCAATGCAAATTCTGTCCTCCTTTTCTTTGAGTAGAGCATGAAAGTAAGTTGTTTGTTTGTTTGGCATTTTATGGTGCAAAGCAACTAGGCTATCTGCACCAATACAGTAAAAAGGAGGATGATGATGACTAGTGGTGTTATGCTAAATACAAAAGTGCAAGAATATGAAATCTACTGCATAACCAGCGTTCTGGCTAAAAAAAGGTACAGGTACAGCATGCTTATGCATTCCTACTACTTTTTGTTTATGTTATACCAATTAATATGGCATAAATACTTAGCTAATAATCAATATATTAATAGTATATAAGTTTTAAGTTCTTCATTATCTTAGGAAATATTTTTTAAAAATCCTGAACTTCCCCTAATGTTACACAGTGACACATTTTCTCTAGGCTTCTTCTCTATTTTATCCATCATCCCTTCAAAATGTATGAAATTAAACATAAATTGCTTCCTATAATATCATCATTGCTCAGACAAACCACAATTTTAATAGCCTTCAATTTTGTTTGGTTACAAAGCTATAAATAGAAAATCACACCCTTCCTGCCACACCTACCTGTCACATTCTTTCAGGCTTTGTTAATAGTTCTCTTTTATGTTTAATTATAAATTACCTATAACCAATAGAAAGTCAAGGTTTTTATCTATCAAATGATGTATTGTATAACATTGTGTTCTGAACAGGTAAGCATCATTTTCACTCAGAGTACAAGCTTCATTCTCATGGGAAAGTTAATGACTAGCTTGGATGAATTTGTAATGGCTCTTGACACATAGTAAGAAAACCAGAAAAAATTTTAGAGTTAGGGGAAAAATTGTCTGCTTTTTGCATGTTAGTAGTCTATGTTCTTTGATGCATTATTTAATGCACTACCACCATTAGTATAAAATATGTAAGCTTAAGTATCAACAGCAAGAAAAAAGAAGATTGGGTAAGTAATTTATTTCTTATTTTTCATGTTTATTCTTTATTTATTATTATAAAAGTAACTAAAATGTAAAAATAGAGATCTTTTTAGGTTAATTAAGATTTGATTAGTTAAAATAAATAATAATAATATAATATGTTTCACGAGGCATGCACGCAAGAAGCACGTACATAATATGCTTCGATAGCATAACATGAGCTGCAGTGCCCGAGTGATTTACAACTTATTATGGTGCGAATAGTAGTTAGAAATAGTAGTTACAATTTGAAGTCACTCTAAAAAAAAAGAAAAAAAAAAGGGTAATTTAGATTTATTTGAATTTTTTTTTGGTCATTACGAGGTCGGTCAAATTGACCAATCCCGTTTTCAGTTAGGGTAGAGAAAATAACAGATGAAAGTTTTACTGGAAAAAAAGTTAGAAATGTATTGAGGAGATTTTAGGGATTACACAAAGGAAATTTGACATTTTTAAGATGAGGAGAAGTATTTTTAATCTTTGAACACAGACAATTCAAAACAAATACTCAATATATTCATGGACAAATTTTTATTTTAGTTTATTAAAAATACTTCACTACAAAATATGATATTTTGTATGTGAAAGACTTGTAATGCTAACTGAAAGACTGTCAAATTTTGTGAAGATATGTGCACTATATTGAAAGTTAGAAGTATTAAGTCTATAAAGAGGTCACGTGGTCAGTCAAACTTACCAAGTCTGTGTTGAGAGAATTAATTGTGTTCAGCATACTTTATAGTATTGGTATTATGGCTGAAAATGTCATTAATAGCATCAGTACCCATCTAATGTAAAAATAAATTATTTGATTAGCTATAATCACTACCAATACCAGGTTGAGTTAGTTTGCTCTGATCATAAGTTAATATTGATTTTAGTAAATGTTATTTTTATTAAAATTAACTTGGATATCTTAATTCCAGTATCAATATTTTTACTAATTATTCTATATCTTTGTTCTTCATTTAATTTATATATTATAATTGATGATTTTACATCTTCATAAATTAGCTTTTGTATTTTTTCTATACTATCTGTACCATCCTGCTATTCAATGCTGTAGTTAAACAGCAAAATGTGTTGTAGTAATTTATCTTGTATATCAAGCTCCTCTAAATTACACTATCAGAACCATTTAATGGGCTTTCATTGGCTACAAGAGTTGTTAAAGAGAATTATATGAAGTTCTCTATATAGTAGTGATGTCAAATGTTTCATGGGACAGAAAACAGGTGATAGTGCATATCATTAATTTTTGTGTGTTCATTTAATGACACCTTCATTAAAGCTATTAATTTGAATGTTTAAAATATACATTTACTTTATTATTTTTACTTTTTTATTATTACATATTTTTTGTATGCATTACTTTGCAATGTTAGCTTTGAATACTAATCTAAGTATCCTAAGTTGGCCAAACCTTGCAAGATATTATTGTGATTATGGCCAAAAATATCACTAAAAACAAGGGTACTCAACTGATGAAACAATACACTCTAATCATCATTATAAGCAAGAACATTGTATAAGTTAGCTATCAGCATAATAGGTATTTTTTTTATAGTTTTGAATATATAGGTAACTTTCTTTAAACAGAAATTAATATAAATTAAAATGTTTGATCATGTATGACGGGAAAAAATATATACACACTGAGATTCTTGAAAGCCAATTGATTCTATATCACAATTTCTTTACTAGTTTTTTTAACATCATTATAAAAATAGGTTGTTTCAGTCTAATTGACATGCACACTAACAGTCAGTATTTTTAAATCAATTTTCAAACAAAAACTTCCAATAAATATCTGAAAAACCACATTTACTTTGACCAATTTTGGAGCAACTATAATACACCAATTATATGCAGTTACTAAAACAGTATTCTCAAATTCAATTATTCATCAAATTAACTTACTTCAAATCCTCCAATTACAAGAAGTGCTTGAATCCTGAATTCTTTCAGACGAGCAACACATTTCTCCATATATTTATCTGGAAGGGTTCTGGGTAATAATAATAAAAAACCTTAAGAGTAGAACATCCTCATATAAAAGTTAAACTTATACTGTTTGAATTCACAATAATAAACTATAATAACTGAGCTTACTGAAGTATGATGAACTGAAAGTCGTAATTTGGTAAATTATAGAAGAAACAGTACAAAATTATTTTACCACTCACAGTACCTAACTGAAGTGTCATGATTATTGACCTATCTTCCTTGTTCTCTTTCTAACTATTAAAAAGATATTTATACATTATTAATAATCAACATAAACTAACCTCTTGGTACCTAGGAAAGCACCTCCTTGGCCAACCCAGCCATTAACTTCACTCCAGCCAAGAGGTTTAATCTGGGTTCAGAAACAAGTCTTATTAACCATTTAGTTATTTTATGTTAGTAATTAAAACCAACTATCTATACACTGTAAACCCTATGACAAGTACCATTTAGTTATTTTATAACAATAAAATCAACCACCCATACACTGTAGACTCCATGAAAACTGCAGTGAAGTTATTTTATATCAGTAACTAAAACCAACTATCTATACACTGTAAACCCTATGACAAGTACCATCTAGTTATTTTATAACAATAAAATCAACCACCCATACACTGTAGACTCCATGAAAACTGTAGTGAAGTTATTTTATATCAGTAACTAAAACTAACTATCCATACACTTTAAACCTCAGACCAAGTGTTGTGTAGTTATTTCATATCAGTTACTATAACTATGCAACCATGTGCTATAAACCAAAAGATGTCATATTCAATAAGTTCTAGTAATCATAAACCTGTATTTCAAATGCATGTGTGAATATTAAAACTGAAGAGGTTATTTATTATTTGCACTATAATCATTACTTACATTGAAAGGCTGCTACTAGAATAAACAAACAGAATTTTTGATGAGCAAAAACTTTCAAAGTGGTATCTTTCTATTTTATTTACTCAAAAGAAAGTAAATTTGTGATATAGGAGTACTGTGATCTGATTTACGCAATCTCTCTCTCTCTCTCAAAAAGACAACAACAGTAAATACAAGAATTCTTTACATTTTGCTTTGTTTCTTCAGTTAACAACTTTGAAGAATTTTGACAAGTACATAGTTTGAAACTTACAGTTTATTATTATATACTTACATTTCCTTCAACTAAACCCTCAATACCATCATGAATTCCAAATACTTTATCACCTCGAAATAAACAGTTTCTAACAAAGGACCGGACAGCTGCATTCATTCCACAGCAGGGAGCTCCAATGTGGATCACACCCAAGATGTATCCTTCCTACAAATGGAAAATAGGGCATGATATCCACCTACAATAAATCTTATGTTATGTCCATATTGTATCTGGTAATAAAAACATACTTTTAAAATAATAAATAATAAATAGTGAAGTAAACAATTTGCATCCTAAAAATGTAAACCAAATGTATATATAACAACAATGATAAAAAATACTGATTCACATTAACCCAACTATGTTATGACTCAATTTTGAAGACTCAAACTTCAATGGACTTTGAACCACACAAAAATGTAGAGAAATAGGGTAATATAGCAAAATAACAGAACCAAATTTTTGTGAAATTTATATTTTGTAAAAAAACAACTTAAAACCAAATTTTTTAGTCTATAAAAACATCATCCCTGATACAAAAATAATGTTAAGCAAGTATAGGTATAAGTATTTTGATAAAATTAATCATAAATAAAGTAACTAAAATAGACATCTAAAAAGAAATCTTATCCTTGAAGAGCAGCATACCAAGTTCATTCATAAATGGTGCTGACCAAGAAACATAATGCATATCTACAACAGTTTTAAATGTAGTTCCGATGGAAATGAAATCATATTATGCAAAATATACAAGACTGAGAAATAAATGATTTCACAAAGAAACAGTGTGAAATCCTTAAAGAAGGAAGTGACTTCACTGTGTTTGCTGAAAGTAATACATAGAAAGTAGAATATACAGAGGGTTGAATATGTCGTATTAAAACAATTTTGAATATTTAAACCAGTAAGCTATGTGAAAACCAGTGTCACTATAATGTATCAGTGGGACAAATGTACCAAAATTACATTTTGACTATGTTTCATAGGTACTCTGATGCCACACTACCAAAAACTGATCACTTTTGAGAAGGGTACGTAACAGCCGTTTCTAGATGTGTTCAGACTGGGGATGTAGAATTTCACAGACAAGGATATTTCTTGTACATAATTACATTGGAATACAAAGAAATATGGATCAACTTTAGGATCCAGAATCATCCAGAAAGGAACCCGCAATAAATTATACCCCAGTTATGGTAAACAAAGTATGACATCTTGTAACAGGTGACAATCCATGAACATAAAGGTCAGTGATAAAGCTGTCCATGTGCTCCAGGCAACAACATGCAACATAATTTAGAAGAATCTCCTTCTAGAAAAGTGCCAAAAATCATATGTACATGAGCTTCTTCCAAGAGATATCAGTTCAACTGTTGCATACCTCAAGCAGCTGAAGAATGAAATGGGTATTAATATTACTCCATACATAGACAAACTGGTCAAGTTGCCAAATAGTGTGCTATGAATTTCTTTGCAATCAGACTGTTGAAATGGGCACTTGAAAACCATCACCCCTGCATACTAAATGGTGTGTGGAAAGCATGCAGAGAGCAGTTGTGAGCTTTGGACATTATAGTCTTATGATAGATTTTTCTGCAATAGAAATTATGCTAGAGGGTTATTGTCAAGATGCATGGTAATCTGATAGATCATAATTGGACATGACCACATGGACCATAACGACGTGATGAGAATTCAAAGCTGTTTGAATATAACATATTTAACTCTCTATATTCTCATGTTTACATAACTCTGAATGACTTTAAGTACAACTTACATATTCATGCAGTTTAGAACCTTGTCCGTTAATAGGAAGAAATTCAGATTCTTAATGAAATTACCCGTATATTTTTTTTTATTCAACCTCTGTATATACAGTCACTTGTTCCAACAATTAAAATTTAATGCTCACACATAAAAAAAATACATTTGGCCAGAAGTTTACTTATTTTTGTTTGAAAATAATATACTGATGAAATTTTAAATAATTTTCAGCACTTTCATAGAAACATATAAAGTAATATAAAAGATTTTGATTTTTTTTCTTTTTTTAATAATCAAAGATCCACAATAACAATGAACTCTTGACTGCCCAGTAAAATATATACACACACACACATGAAACATGACTAGTTTTCAAGAAAAGTTATAATTTTCCTACACTGAAAATGTATTTCTTACAGGTACTTACTTCCACTCACATACATAGCTAAGCTATTCTCATTCAGTGCTGACCTCTATTTGCAAAATTTTTTTGTATGCCACAAGTCTTTCACTCCCATGCAACCCTCGATTCACATGGTTTAACTGATTCTTTCATGCAAATTATCATGTGAAAACCTCCACAAATAGTTGTGTTACACACTCGTGATTAATGTGACTCACTTTATGCTATACTATCTAAGTATCACTTCAAGTTTATGCAGAAACGTAAGCACTGGTTGACAGTGAGGAGGAAGGGTGGGAACTGTAAGCAGAAATAAGTACCTATTGGAAATACATTTTCAGTGTAGGAAAATTATAACTTCCAACAAGGTAACTTACTTCCACTCACATAAATAGCTGGAATCCCACGTTGAATAGATGGAGGGATTGGTGCAAGGGAGAAAGTAGAAGCATCCTTTGAAAGTGTTCAAAGGACACCATAATGAGGGTACCCTCTAATAAGAGGATTATATGTGGGAGATCCAGGCAGAAAATTGTGAGGAGCACATCCCAATGGGAGATAAAATGCTTATACAGTGATCCTAACCACAATATATTATAATTTCAATCTCCCTGTAGGTAAAATAAAGAATGTGTCCCAAGGTATAGAGTGGCTAGTGCGCAACAGACCGTACATGGCAAGTCAACTGTGTCCAAAACCTGACTGCCAGGAACTAACATTCATGCAGGGGTAGGAAAGAGGATCATACCATCTTCATCTCAAGTTCAGCCAACCAGAGGGAGAAATCCTACTACCAATCTGTGAACAAAGCACATGTGAACAGAGTGAAATAATATACATATATATCCCACTCAAATCAGACGGAAACCACCTCAAATGCAGTAACATCCTTGGCATAAAGACATCGAAGATTAGTGCAAGAGGAAGAAGGGGAGCAACAAACAAGTGCACTCACCATGAGCCACAACACTGGGGTAGTGCACTCAAGGTGAATGGAGTGAGGGACTAGGGACATCCTGAACACGTGTCAGGACTTATGAAGATTAGTTCAGCTCTAAATCCAAAACTCAACTGCTAGGAACTGAAATCCATTTGGGGGTAGGATGATGGATCCCAATCGAAGGGGTGAACTGTATTTATGCTGGCACACTACATGTATGAGTACCTCATGTCGATTGGTTCAGCTCTAAATCCAAAACTCAACCCATAGGAACCAACATCCATGCGAGGGTGGAATGAGGGATTCCAAATGCACTACATGTGTGGGGACATGATGTTTATTGGTTGAACTCTAAATCCAAAACTCAACTGCTAGGAACTGACACCCATGTGAGGGTATGATGAGGAATTCCAATCAGCACAACACGAATGTGGACAATATGTCAATTGGTTCAGCTCTAAATCCAAAACTCAACCACCAGGAACTGGCTTCCATGCAAGGGTATGATGAGGGATCCCAATCATTATGACAGAACACTCCAATGCTACAACATCCCCTTGGACAAACCCATGCAGAAGTGGAATATCTATCTGGAAGACATCTCATCATCTACACCAGTGGAACACCATTGTCCTACTCTCAACTGAATGGTGTCTATATTGTTAATATTGTATATCTCTCATTCAGGAGGATACCTCTATGGTCCACCACCCCAGTGGCTTGGAACTGGAAAGTAGTAAGGACTCTCTTACTCTACTGAAAGATAGGGAGGGGACACGGTGGAGAGTCTGAAGGAACGTTCACACCGGGGACAATGAAATAGGTGACCACAAAACTTTATTTTGAAAAAGAGACCAAATCCAATTTATTCAATCTAAGGAATGGCAAGGATGGGCAGCAATTCTCTTCTGATTTACCCTTGGGTTAGTACAGTTTGGAATGGGCATATTTATGAAGCAAAGATATTGCAAGGAATAACCTACAAGTGATCTTTTGGAACTCCCCATCTCTAGTTTATGTGATTGTAATGAACAGTGTGCATTTTGTGGTCAATGAAATTATGAATGTAAAGTCAACATGGCCTTACAGTGCAGGTTTTAGTACAATTCTAAGTGACTAAAGTATATCTAGACAGGCACCACTCGCCACAGAGCAGGACCCTGGTCAAAACATGGGACAGGCTCCTGAAAAATTATATATATATAACAAAAGTAAGAAGACTTACCCAGTTACAGTCCCATGTGAAGGATGGCAACAGGTGAAAAACAGTACACAGAAGAGAAAGAAACAGATACCCAAAGCAAATAATTGGAGATGAACATATGAGGTGTAGTCCCAGTAGCTCAACAGATGATGGACGATGGGGTTGAGATGCAGGTGAAAGGTAAGGTGCCTGAATGAAGCGAAGACACCAGAATTGATTATGGGAAGAAAGAAACAAGGAATAAAAGGCCAACTGAATCACAAGCCAAGCCCAATTGGTACGGGAGGAAGAAAAAAAAATCACTACCAGAGGAGTGGTGCAAGGGAATGAAACTGTGGAAAATAGAGTCAATGGTAAGAAGCCTTGAGAGCAATGGAACAACCCAGGGCATGTACAGGACAGAGAAAATCATCTGGATCCAACCAAGAATATAGGTGGATGAGAGCAAAAAAACAAAAATGATAAAAAACATGTTCCACATGAGACATCAAAGTGTAGGTTAGTAAAATCAATCCAGAAAAAAATTAATATACTGAGCCGAAACAACCGAGAAAACCAGATCTGTGCTGGCCATGAAGGAAGAATTAGAAAGACCTGACCAGAGTGACATGGATGATCAAAATCACCTTGGCAAGAAAAGTGACAGAATGAAAAAAACTAAAGTTATAAACTTGATCTAATCCTGTCTGAATGTATCGACAGACAAGGTGAGTGGATCATGAACTGGAGACTAAAAACAAAAGGGGTAATTTGGAATTGAGAAAGGAGTATAATGCTTCCTGTAGAGGAGTACCCTACTGAAGGCAGAGCCACCAAAAATTAGAGGATTGAGAGGCCACTCCTTGGGAGAAAGT